ACGGCTGCTCCAATCACTCCTCGGCTATTAATTTCACAATAACACTTAGTCAAAATCTTATAATCCTTCTTAGGGTAAAATGACCATTTTACCCTTGGGGCTATCTTAAAGGATTAAACCCTTATACTTTAGATCCATGCCCCATACCTTCCCTAAACCCTGGAAATGCCTTTTCAAGATCTAAACTTGTTTTTCAGATCTAAACTGTATATGAAAAACTTGTGTGTATATTATCTGTTTATTTAAGATCTAAACTTCTTTATTTTCAGATCTGAACTTGTTTTTCAGATCTAAACTGTATATGTATTTTATATTTGAAATCTATACTGGATGAAAGGTTTAAACTTTGTTCTTTAGATCTAGACTTTTCTTCAGATCTGAACCGTTTATGTATTTTCTTTTCAGATCTAAAATTTTCTTCAGATCTGAACTGTATATGTATTTTATATCTACAAATATGTCGGGTAAAACATGGGTAGATGATATAGTTGGTATGTGATGAAAGATGAGTTGGATAAATGAGATGAAAGGTGATATAGATCATGAGATGAGGCTGAGAGGTACAAAATGAGTGAAAAATTTACCCAAACGATGGCCCCGTCATCTAGCAGAGTATGGATGACAACCACACACTATTCTAGACGGTTTGATGGAACACTAGCAGACTCGCAACTTGTAGGTGTTGTGAACGATATGTTCACCTAGTGTACTCTAAAAACCCATTGACATGTATTGCGGGTGGACTCCCGAAAATAATACTGTCGATAAATGAGGGAAACCGTGGCAGCGATGGACTTAGTGCCTTATAAATGAACGTTGGTAGCTATGGATTTAGTACCCAATAGTTGAACATTGGTAGCTATGGATTTAGTACCCTATGGAAGAATCCCGACAACTATGGACTTAGTGCCTGTTAAATAAACCCTGGCAATGATGGACTTTGTGCCTATTCCTTAGAAGAATCCTTAAGAATGAAAGAGTGAATGGTAGATGATTCTTAGGGTAGATCCTTAAGAAATAAAGAAGATAATGGGGATGGGTAATTGGGTTGATTGTTTGATGATTGTGTTGGATTAGGTGTCTAAGCTCATAACTATTATTGGTATGTACTTGACCCGAGAGTAGCATGGTCCATTTGGGTTGCATGGCACCGGAACAATCTGAAGGATGGATAATTGAGAAGAGGTTATTTATGGTTTATTAATATATTATAAGTTCTAATATATTAATATGAAATCATATTATTTAATTAGTATTGATCAAGAATTAATTTTGTGATCAAGAGAGACTAATTAAATATAAGGGGTTGATTTGGTAAATCATTCATTCTTATAAAGTGGGCTTATGATCCATAGTTCTTCATGTTGGGCTAAACCCATGTGGTAACCCATGGATACTCCATGGAGGTTTTAACCCATGGAGCATGAGGGATATGGAAAGTCATTAGGGTTTACATGGTGTAACCCTAGTTTGCCACACTATATAAGAACCCCTCTAGCTCATGAAATTGGCACAAAAGTGGCACTAAGGAGTGGCTAGTGGAAACACAAGAGGGCAAGCCGATTTCATGAGTACAAGTGACCTCCTCTCAAGCTTCTTCATTTTGTTGGTGGTGTTGTGTGATTCCATTTGAGGTGCAACACTTGGGGCACTAAGTTCTTGAAAGTCCAAGCAACAAGCTACAAAGAAAAAGGTATGTTATCTAACTTGTTTTATTACCCAAGTATCAAAATTATGTATGCTAGTTAGGGTAATACCTTGGATAGTTCAAGTTTGCATGTATATTAGAGAAAACATAGATCCAAAGTATTTAGGGTTGCATGTACACCTTAGGAGTGTTAGAATGCTTAAAACCCTTCAGACTGAACATTAATAATTTTATTATTGTGGGTTGAAAAAACCTATGTACTCACCAGGTTTCCCAACCTGACCCACTTAGTTTATTTGTATCACAGGTGTCGATACGAAGCTACATTACACTGAGAGATTAAAGGAGATGTAAATCACTAGTGTAAATGAATGTAAGTTTTGTTTATGCTTATGTTTCTATATTGACGATGACATCCCAAAGTTTTAAAATGAATAAAATACATTTCCTCGGAAATGATTTGATAACATATTTATCATGTTTTTTGTGGGAACAAATTCCTCAACCATTTTCTTTAAAAAGGATAATCTGATTTTCAAATAAAGCATAAACAAATCGGTCTTTTCTGGCCGTGAAAATGGGGATGTCACAAAACTAAAGTAGAAAAACATCACCAAAAGATTGCTAGACACGATCATCAAGCAAACTCGAAGTGAAATCTCCATATAATAGCACTTGAATCTTCAAATCTTTGCTGCAATTGACTTTCTAGCTTCAAAATCGACCCTTGGAGTGTTTTTGGACTTCAGAAATGAAGTAAAAGTCGCACATATGGCTGTCAAAGCATGTACACCTATTAGGGTTGGAAATCTCGTGTTTTTATAGATTTTTCGTGTAACACCCGTTTTCCAGGATGGATCGATTCAGGGCTTTAAGGAGTCAAAAGCATGGTTTTTGGAAAAAACCATAAGGTGGTCATAACATGACAAGTCAAGAAGAGAAATGTGTATCTGGGTCTGAGCTCACGAAGTGACATATATGTGGTCACGATGTGAGGTGGGTTGTAGCCCAAGAGGGTTTACTTCGTATTTAAACCCCATAACCGAAATTTTAAGGTTCATTAACAGCCTCCTTCATCCTCCAACACAAAAAACCCTAACCCTAGCCGCCCTTTGTGATTCTTGGCCTTTTTGGAGCATTTGTTAGCTTGAAGAAGAAGAGATGAAGGAGAAGAAGGTGTCCTATTGGTGGAGCTTGCAAGGAAACATCATCATCATCATCTTATATTATTTCTGGACCTTTATAAGTGTCAAAGGCTCAAACTTTATTGCGCTATGTTGCTAAATCTAGGCTTTTGCCCCATTTTCTTCATGATTGAGAAAGTTTGAATGAAAGGGATCCATAAACTTAGCTACTTTATGGATTTTAAGGGTCCCTTGAGTACCATAAGGTTCAGATCTAGAAATTGGTTGAGTGTTGGATCCATGCATGTAAGTTTTGGTGTTGTTTTTTCACTTATGACCGCTATTTATTACATATCGTAAATTAATTTTGAAGTTTGGGAAAAATTAAAGTATTTTAGTTATTTAACCCAACAAGCCAACACACATAAGTTGATAAAAATATAAGAATACAAATATAATATATTAGTGTATTAGGTTTAGATATATTACTTTTATATTGGGATTGAACATTAAGTTGACCCAAAAATAATACAACAACCAATATATAATCCTTGATAAATATAAGTATAAACTCTTGACGTTTATAAATTTATTTACGTTTTCAAAAAATTATTTGGTGAGTTTTACGGATTTATTTATCTTATTAAGGGTATTTAAAGTTGTTTATTTTAAATGTTTATCAACATGGATTGATAGTTAATCCTTCTTAATAAATGAAGGTTTTTTTGCCACATGTCAATCTCTCATGAGTTTTGACACTTGTCATTTTGTGGTATTTTTGAAATAAATATTATCCACTTGTCAATTTTTGGTTTGTTTCAATTTTAAAATTAAAGTCATATACTTATATATGTAAAGTATTAAATATCATATATATGATATTAAATTGCAATAAATACGTTTATTATTTTCTTATTTTAAGGTTGTACATTAAAAAATATTTTCTTTTTACACTTTAATGTTTAATTTTTTTTAAATCAACCTGTGTAATACACGGGTCTGACACCTAGTAATTATTATTCTAAACCTTTAAATATAAATAGAAAAAATATTTATTAATTAAAATAATTAGTTTTTGATAAATTGTTTTTTCAAATTGTTTGAAAATGTGTAATCACCGAAATTATGCTTCAAACATTTTTTGTAAGGTTAAATATTAGTTGTATTATTATTTTTGGGTCATGTTAATGTCTAAAGCCCAGATAAAAGTTAATGTCTAAGCCCAATATACTAATAACTTATGTGTTGAAATTTTGACAACTTGGACATGATATTTTCGTTTTCTAATGACATTGCCATCACCGAAGTCATGTTTCAATCATTTTCTTTCGAAAGTGTTATTTCAAACATTTTATATAAACGAGCCAACAAAAATTAATGGTGAAAAAGGATTGAAAACTTGAAATACGTTTATTTTTCTTTCTCAAAAATCGAACTTAATTTACATATCCTATAAATGGCTGTCATAGAAGTTAATTTTTACAGATTGTATTAACAGCGTCATTAATCTAAAGTTCGACTTTGTAAATAAACAGTTAAACAGTAAAATACATTGCACATATTGGCAAAAAAATAGTAAAATACGCTTGTTATTTCCTACAATTTGCTCATAATTACATCGTCCACTATTTTGTGTTTTCGGTATCAAGATATTCTAAAAAAATTCAATATCTATCTATAAACATCATTATGAAAAAAGTAAATCGTACCCCTGACAGTAATTTCCTACATATCCCAAAGTTATTAGGAGATTGTGCATCAGTGTATGTATTTGATCCTAAAATTCATTCTAGAATTATACACCCCTAAATTTTCATTTGATCCTAAGTTTAGAGTATGCATGATCATAAAAGTCATATAAGTTTATATAATATTGATATTAATACCAAAAAATAAGAAGTCTTGAATGGGAATAAAACTGAAATGAGTGGTCAAGTTTCTTAGCCACCAATCGCATTACGAAGCCTCGTAGTGGAATAATGGAAATACTCCATGTCGAAAAAGTTGAAACGTCTTCATCAACCACAAAAAGAATGTATTAATCTTTTTTCTTTTAATAAAATCCGATCTGTCATTTATGATTTATATTCATCTAAAGAGAAGGTATCCGTGTAAATATATCTTGAAATATCCAACTCTTCATCGATTTTGTGGGTGATCAACTGATCATGGATGATTGAAATCCATTAATCAACCGAGTTAAAATAAAATAAATATTGAAATTATTTCTCAAGAATCATGAAAAAAGTACATACAAAACCCCTCTATTTTCCTAATATGCACCCTTTAGCCCTATTAAAATATAAAACAACCAAAACAATTCAGGAATCAGCCACACCTTGAATTCGAATGTTAAGCCTACGAAGCCAAACCGAATGTAGTATCATATGAAATACATCGTACCTCTTTGGAGGAAAATTTACCTCAAAATGTCGTCTAACTTGTTTCCCCCTCCTCTGCATTCTCAAATACTGTCTCGTAGATATACCAGTTAAGATCTGTTTAAGGTTTGGGATATCTTCAACCGTGAGTATAACCGCAAATGATTTCCAATTTAGGACATCGCTAAACGGGGCCACGTAACCATCCTTGATGAGAACCGGCACACAACCGGTGTAAAGTGCTTCCACCATTCTTGGGCTTGCCACCTCATAACCACTTGGAGAAATGCAATATTTACTTTGTCGCAACATAGCCATGTACGAAACACCCTTTGGAAGGTACTTGTGGACTTGCAGGTCAGGGTCTTTGTCCTGCCAATACTCTAAAAGTATTGGTCTAATAGGACCATGGACCCCACCTGCAAAAAATGCCAAAACGGGCCGGTACCTTGGTGATGGCCCATTTAGTATCCCGCGTGTCGTTCCATCTGGGAGTAAAATCTCTGGGATGGACACGTCTTTCGTAGGATTAAACCCTTCTGATGTATTCGCATTGCATAGAGCTCGAATAGAATTCTTGAAAAGGTAAGGAACTGCTTTCGACAACTCCGGACCCTAAAAAACTTTACTAAATCAGAATCACATGAGGAAAATGAAAACGACATAAAAACTACGTACACAAAATATTACTTACCCAATCGTGGCAAGCAACTGTAAAATGATCGGCTCCTAGACTGCGATTCCAAAAAGGGTACTTGGATCCCACAAGATCGACATAATCTTTAATCGTTTGCTTCATGGGAAGCCAATGGTCAACATTTGGATTACGCTCAAATATATAGTGTACCATCATCGTTGCACTCATCGGGAGGAAAAACACATGTGCTTTTTCGGGGTTTTTTGTTCGATATTTAGTGGTTTCCATTTGGTATATAAAGTTACCTTCCATTGCATATATGTTTTTGCAAGGTCCATCATGAAATATCGGGGGTTCTCCTTCTTCATACACAAACACCTTGAATTGCTTCTCCATCTCCAAATAACTCCTATATATATGACAAAGTACGAGTCAACTTTGAAGTAAAAAAATATGAAATATAATAGGAAGGTAAATAACACCCATGTGGTCCCACAAAATAATTATATAGATAAACCAGAATATCCCTATAATATTGCACATACTAAGATATTGTAGATAAAGTACAATGCATCAATGCATAAGAAAAAAACATATATAATTACCGTTGAAAAGCAGCTGCATTCCAATACATAGGACCATCCGGGACATAATCCGGATCATGAGTTTTATTCCTAGATTCAGCTTCTTTGATTGCTGTTCGAGCCCGTCCGAGACGAGCTTCGAGTTTATCCAAACTCGTGGATTTCCTGTTGATTCGTGCATCAACAGGAAATTCATGAGTTTGATTAACAGACACGAAAATGTCTGGTCCACTCAACGTCACATTCATGTCATCTTCCTTGGCAATAGCCTGTCAAGATTCTGTAAGTTAGTACAATTTCTTTATAAGAACTTGTAGTTATGCTCTAAATGTTGGACGTTTCTATATTCTTAGAAACTGACTATCCTCGTTTTCTGAAAAGAAAAAGTTTACCCAATTTAGGTAAATAGCGGTTTACGTAAACAGGAAAGATTAGAAGGACACAAGCTCTCAGTAACATCCTAAAAGAAAGCATGAAAAGAGACAAATGATGGCGTAGAAAGAATATTTTCATATGAATGGTCCTTATCCACATATACTTCAGCAAGTACTAAAAAATATTAAAAGGAATTTCACTTTGACTTTTCATGCCAAAAAAAGCATAAAAAATTGAATTATTTTAAAAAGAATCTGATCAACGTAAAAAACTATTTTAAAATGAATATGATTCAATTTCATACTATTTTACTCATATATATTTCTCTATACAAAAATTTTCTTTGCAAACGAAATAAATGGCAAAAATATAGGTGTTGCTTTTTAATGGGTCGACCCGACCCGAAACATTTTTATCTCATTTACAGCTAATTTTGTTCTATTTTTGAGAAAACCCCCATTCAACCGGCTAGTTTTAACACGTTGCTTGTTTGGCCTAAATCACCCCAAATAAATCCAATGGTCAATTAGCCAACTCAATATACAAACAATACGTACAAAACAACTGATCACATTTTTTTTGAAGTTCACAAAAAAACAATATAATGCGATTGAGAACAAAAGTTTATTAATCATCAATTTTAAATTTTGGTTAACCTTAAGAATTAAAAAAGTTAATAACCTTGATCAATTTATAAGCATATATTAATGGATTTTGGCTACATGAAATGAGTTAAAATGGTTTGAATTAAGTCTATTCACAAAATTAAACAATTATTGTAATATTTAGGTATTTATAATCTTAAATATGAAAAAAAGAAATGGTGAAATTAGTGTTTATAGGATACTTCAAACCAGTATCACACCAATTAATATGCATTTACATTTCCAATGTCCGAATTAAACTCTTTTGACCAAATTTTAGATTTAATTTATTTATTATTCATTTAAATTGAAATTAATTTCATTGAATTAGAATTAGGATATATAAGATTCTTATGTTATAAGTATTTAAGATATCAAAAAACCTGATTAATTATTTAAAATTATGTGTAAAATAAAGTGGGAATAGGGAACTTACAGGCAACTCAACGTCCATTTCATCTTCCATAGCCAACGGTGGATAAGAAGAATTAGAAGTCTGATGAAACACATAATCTTCCGATGGCCCTTCAGCCACCTCACCACCACCTTCGACCACCGTTGGCCGTCGCCCCAATGACACAGACCCCACCGCTGCCACCGCTTCGTTATCTTTAATTGCAGAAGAAGAATAAGAAGTAATCACAGAACTCCAAACCCAAGGGTAATACTTTGACCCATCAGCCAAGTTTGACTTTTTAACCCCAATAAACACAGCAACCACCATGAACGGCAGAATCAGCCATAGAAGCTTCATGGATGAGGTGGCTGAATTCCGCCATGAACCCATCTCTTCTTCTCTCTCTCTCCTCTCTCTCTCTCTCTCTCTCTCTCTCTCTCTCTCTCTCTCTCTCTCTCTCTCTCTCTCTCTCTTCTCTCTCTCCTCTTCTCTCTCTCCTCTCTCTCTCTCTCTCTCTACAAGACCCTGTTCTTAAGATCACCGAAAATTCATCTCCCAGTTTTCAATTCTGGAATAAGATACCTTACCAAAAAGCAAACCACTACTTCCTTCTGTTCTTTTCTCTCTCTAAACTTTCATGTTCTCTCTTTGTCTCTCTATATATGTACATATATATATACGCTGTATCTATAGGTTTCTCTCTCTAGAAACAGAAGAAGTTTTACAATTGGTGAAAGATGGTTGCGCCATCACGCCAAGCGTCTCGTCTCGTCTTGTTTTGCTCTCTGTTTTCGAGTTGTTCATGCAAAAAAAGTATTTAATTCTGATTAAATATTTGTTTTTTTGCATTAATTTTACGGTTATGTCCCTCAATGCTTTAACCGATGATCTCATAAATTCCTTGTATTGTGGGTATTACTTGTTTAGTGTAGGCGCAGTGGTGGTGTTTGAAATTCACTCGCGCTATACATCGTTGGATTTTGAAGATGATGGTATGAACGCATGCGTATGAAAACAGGGCGGTGAGATTTGGGTCCATTTAAGACATTGCCGCTTCAAAACACAAGTGATCTGATTTACTTGCCTATTTTTAGTGTTACGAGTTAATTGACATAAATGCCCTTAGCTTCATTTTTTTCCGCTATATATTTAACTTTAGAAGTATTTGATCAAATATATAACAAAAATCAATTTTCATCCGGTATGGAGAGCTTGCTTACGCGTCAAAACCGACGTGGCCGAGATTTTCACGCGTGAACACCGGCCAAGGGGGCGTAATTGTGTTGTGGTTTGGCTAGCTTCACGGACGATTACGGAGAATGTGATTGGCTAGCTCGAAAACGGTCACAAAACCGACCGATGCTATATAACCGTTGGTATATTAAAAACATATATATTTAAATCATACCACCTTACCTATAAATACCAACCATTTTATACATATTTCATACTACAAACACATCAATTTATTTCTATATCCTCATATTTTCTTCAAATTATGGATCCAAATCAAAATACTCTAATCACTCCAAACACTTCAAATGATCCATACTCACATGTTGGTACTTACATGTAAATGTTAACATCCCCAATTCAACAACTTATATACCACAACAATTCAACCATTCTCAATTTCAAGCTTTTCAACAACGGATTTTTTTTTAAACGACAAACTAATCTACTCTTAAATTACCACATGTGTCTCCAACAAAACTTGAACCCATTACTCTCAATTGAGAGAGTCACTTATTACCACTAAGCTAAAGGTCCTTTGGTAACAACTTTCTCAATCTCAACAATTTCAAACACAACCATCTCAACCTCAATAATTTCAAGCACATCCATCTCAACCCCAAACTCAAGTCACATTTTCTCTATCCCAACTTACAAACCTCGACGATGATGATCGATTTACCCCTCTCATCCCCATTTCTTCAAAAGCTTAATGCTTATTATTGAAGAACATATCATTAGCTTCTTATGGATATAAAACACATGTTTTAATTATTTTAGATTTCACAATTGATCATAAAAATCAATCATTATTGTAGACCAATCATTGAAAATGGGACCAACACCCAAGAATGAGTGAAGATTATGTTGGGTTTTATTAGAGTCAATACACTATCTAAAGGTAGCAGAAACAATCAAAAGATTCACTTAAGTATACATGCATCCTAGATATAGGTTTTACATGTTATGGCAACGAACTTTAAAAATCAACCAAAAAAGAAACATACTAACCTCTTGATTGCTCGATTGGGATTTCGTACGCGTCAATGCTTGCAGGGGATGAAAGATCCAAAGTAGAACCCCTCTAATGAAGTCAGACCCACAACCACCATAAAGCAAGAAGGCAAAACCCTAGGCTAGGGTTTATTCGACATTCTCTAACCCTAGTAGGGAGTTTAGAAATTTCATATATAGAGAGAGAGGGATAGAGGTTAGACGAAATTATGAGAGGATTCAGCTCTTAGGGTTTGACCCCTAGCAGTCTATTTATAGGCAGCTGAGGAAACCATAAATGATAAAAACTCTTAAGGTTTATCTTTACCTTATCATAAAACTGCCTTATCTATATAAGGGAGCAGCCAAAACAGTCCACCCTATGGTCTCCAAGAGCTTCTGGTATATTCCAATTAATCTCTTGTATTAATTAAAATTCAAGCTCTTTAATTAAATAAAATAGTTTAATTAATTACCAAAATAATTTTCAATTAGTTTATTAATTCCTTAATAATATAATAACTTATTTATCTCCACTTCGTTAATGTTATTTGGGTCATGAGGCCAACCCAAAAAGACCCTGCTATTATTAGAAATACTATCAAAACAGTTAATGGCCTTGGACACTATTTCCAATAGTCTCCCACTTGGACAAGTCGTTAACTTTTAGGATCAAAATATTTCAATAACAATCAACAAAGAGTATTCATCCAATGCAACTTTCAAACTCTGATCAAAATCAAATTTTAGTCCTTAAGACAAGTGATCAACTTATCCATTTGTTCTAGATATCTCTATGAACACGAGACATGGATAATGGTCGATCTCGACGTTCGACATTCTGTTTCCCAATCAACGATTTTTGATGATCACATCTGACTTCTAAATCAAACACATCAATAAAGTTAGGGCTCAACCAAGCATTTCAGATGTCAACACTAAATCATCGAGGGGCTCATAGATATTGCTTCCTGATTATGAGAAGGCACAAATAAACTTTGACTACATAGTTTTTGACTACTCGTCTAATCATACATGGACATACCCTTTATGACTACCAGTTATGGATAACAATGGAGCATAATAATGCACAACATACTTTGCAAACAAAACCCTATATGTATCTCAGTTTGAAGAATAAAAGATATTGTCATCTTAGAATTACTTATGACTAGATCCCTGAAGTAATCTATGAGTGTGGGTTTTTTCAATACTTAAATATCTATTTCAAGTACTCATAAGTATTACCTCAATCTCTATTGCAATGTCCAAATCAACTTGGCCAATTAACAAATACTCATTACATTCTTAAATCAATCACTCACTTCCTAGAGTGTAATCGATTGTGGAGGTTCGAATATAACTAAACATTATGGAAGTGGGTTTAATACATGCAAAAGTGAAACACAATATTAAATTAACACAACTTTGATAAAAAACATCTTAATTAAGTCACTACAAAATAAACATCATAACAGTTACAATTCGTATTGTTATACGTTTTAAAACATGTAAAACCCCAAACCGTTATGTATCAATCGAATCCACTAAGATGGTGCGGAATCCCAATCTAGTGAATGATGCAGTATGTAATATGGAATAAGAACAAGATGATTAATCTTCAATGCACACTATTATAGATGAATAGTCGGGTACATAAGATTCTTGATTACACTTGGTTTTCTCTCTGTTTCTCACTTAAACGTGTTCTTGGCAAATGTAACGATCTAAGTCCAGATGAGTCAACACTGTCAAGTCCTTTCATTGTCAGCTGTGTCTAGTCCTTTTATTTTGAATCCTTTGTGCCTACCAGCACATTAAACACAGAGTCTAAACAATTCAGCTTCAGTGCATTACACGAATTTCAGATTGCCCTTAAACACTAAACTTCATATGACTTCCCAAGAATACTTACGAAAGAAAACATATTTTTGTATTTTTTGATTTTATAATTTTTTGTATTTTGATTTCCCCCCCTTAATTTGTTCATGGGGAAGAAAAGAAATAAAATAAATACGCAAATTTAAACAAACACACAAAACTAAAAATAAGTCTTCAAAACGAATCATTATAAGAAAAACTTAGAAGTATCGAGAAGAAAAATCAAACCGTAATTCAACAATTGAAGTTGCATCCAGATGACGTGAGAATAGCACGCATATGCAACAACATGTTCAGCCTCAGCTGTGTTTCAATTCCGGAACGAAGTTAAGATATTCAATATTCATCACACCGTTATATGAGATCCCCATTTGTGATCCTTTCTTTCTTCCTTCCCGCAAAGGACACATACCCTCACTTAATGTTCCGAATGTTGTGCAGTTGAGAGATGTCTCCTATAATGTGCCTGGAACAGCCACTATCAACCTACCGAAGTATGATGATATTCCTCCATAGATGCTCCAGCACATAGTGCGGGATTAGTTGCTTTTTGGAACCCAGTCCATTTTGAAACTAGGTTGACCTTTATCATCTACACAAGGTACTCTCTCTCATGACATATCCTGTTTGTCACACACAAAAGATGAAGAAAATTTAGAATCATTAGATGATTTGGGAGTGTGAACCTTTGGTACCCATCTGTACTCTGGTTTAACCCATTTCTTGTTTGATCGGATGGATGCCTCAACACTCGTTTTAGAACTTGAAACCGACCGCCGAGATGACTCCGACCTAACCGATCTTGGTCTAACAGAACCATCTCTTGAATTTGGCTTCTTGTCAGACATTCCCTTCTTGTCCTTGGGAGTTTGATTCTTGGCCTTTTTCGCGTTCCAGTCACCATTACGTGAATGTGACCTCGAAGGATTTCTTTTGGAGGATCACCCTCTTGGCACGTTCTGCCAACCTTGTTTGTAGTAAGGAACATATAAACGATGTGGGCAATTTCTGGCAATGTGACCGGGAGTCCCACCGTTAAAGCAAGTCTATCTTTTCATATAAATCAGATTGTGACTTGGTCCTTGTCCAACAGAAGTTCGTTTCGAAGAACTTCCACAAGCACAAGCACAAGAATATTTGTTTGACTGCTTGACAGGTTTTTGTGGCTGGGATTTCTCAACAGTGGGGGAATCATTATTACAGGCTTTTGAAACCTTTTCGGCAGAACTAGAATTCATTTTGTTCTGCTCACTCCCATCTTGCATTGCTACATTCTCTGCACATGAAGTAGAAGCAGTAGAA